TGTCCTGACAGGGGCACATGACAGAATCATCAATGAAATTAGCAAAATCTTAGGAAAAGCACATGGCCCGATACCCGGGTGTGTGGACGTAGGGCTTAGGGCTGAGCGTTGGGAATGTAGGTTTTATGAGTTTAGGGTTTAGGGGTGTGATCTGGTGAAACGAAAAAAAACCTTCAGAACGGGAACGGTTCCAGTGCAGAATCTCGAGCCTGCCAGTGACCAAGCTACAGCCTATGCCGCATGGCTTCATTCTCGAGGCTTCTAACTTCGAGGCGCCAGCGTCTGTAGAGAAAGGAACCCGGAAGCCACTTCAGGTTTCGCATCTTGGATTCAAGGATTTGGCCTCTTGGCCAGGCATTTCACCCCAGAGCAGCAGAAGCTTGAAGTGTACGACGGAGCCTGGATCTCGTGGGACCCTACGCCCGAACTTCCTGAACCCTAAACCCAAAACCCTAAACACTAAAACCCTAAACCCGAAACCCGAAACCCTAAGCCCTAAACCGTGCATGTTTTCTAGCTCTAGCCACAACCGAGAGCTCAGCGAGACATCTGCCCTGGCACTGTACAGCGTGAAGATCAATGCCTGGAGACACACCCCAGGGCTTTCACCTGCCCGTGGCATTTTAGCCCACGGGACCCAAAAACGATGGTTTGGGTTCAGGGTTTATGGGGCTGATAGGCTTGAGATCTCTTCCCGAGCCCCCCACCCTAACCTCTAAATTCCTGGACCCCTAAACCCCTCAACCTCTAAATCCCTAAACCCCTAAACCCTAAACCCCTAAACCCCTAAACCCCCAATTAGTAGGGCCACCAGTACCTCGAGCCGTTCAGATACGACACCTCGCGGGGCCGCCACGCACCCGATCCTCGGTCAGCGAGGCTCCGGGACTTCAAGCTCTCGGGGTCTGGGTCAAATTGGGGCGAGCAGGGCCTAGGGGTTTAGGGGGGGTTTAGAGGTTTAGGGATTTAGGGGTTTAGGGGTTTAGGGTTTGGGATTTGGGGTTAGGGGCTTAGGGGCTTCAGGGGTTTAGGGGTTTAGGGGTGTTTGAAGTGAGGCGTTGGGACTGAGGGTTTAGTAGTCAGGGTTGGATCTAGGGAAGGACACGGCTTCCGGTCTTGACAAGATGCCATGCCAGGAGTCATGCATTTCCGGCTTGTCAAGCTGACAGCAGTGCACCCCTCATCTCGGCCAAAGCATCCTGAACCCTCAATCCTGAAAATCATCCATGCCTTACAACCTCCAAAAATACAGACCTACGCCTTAATCGGAGATGAACAGAAAAAACTTTAGCCGGCAATGCCGGAAAGCCCAAACAGAAGCACTCTGTCCGAGGAGAGCGACCAGGGCAGAAGAACAGTAGCACGAATAACAGCACGAAGAACAGTAGTAGCAGTAGTAGTAGTAGTAGTAGTAGTAGTAGTATTAATAATGATAATGATAATAATAATAATCATAATCATATTCATAATCATAATAACAACAACAATAAGAATAATAACTGTCATAATAACAATAATGGTAACAACAACAATGAAAACAAAAGAAAAAACAATGGTAGTACGAATAACAACAACAATAGTAATAATAGCCATAAGAATAAGAACCCTCATATAAGAATATAACTAACAAAAATTACAAACAATGAAAAAATATAATAATCATATCACAATACCTAATACTGATAAGAAGAATAAGAACAACAACATTACGAATATAAAATACAGATTAATTGCAACGATAATCGTCCGCATCATCAGAACCGTTATTGTTTAGTGTAAGAAAAAATGTAATGGTACATATTAACATATAGCTAAACAATATTAATAATAATATGCATATAAATATATATATATATATACATGTATAACAACATATGATATCAAGCATCTATATATGCATGTGTATATATATATATATGTATGTATGTATACACACATATATATGTGTGTGTATAGAGACATACATACATACATACATACATACATACATACATGCATACATACATACATACATACATACATACATACAGTAGCAATAATAAAGCTAATGATTAAAGATTTGTAAGAATAATAACAACAACTATTATATCTAACAATAATAATAATAATCTGAACAATAATAGTAATAACAAAATACAATAACAATATATGATTCTACATAGGGTGTGTACTATCATATAACATAAGTATAATCATGATAGAAATAATAAGAACAACAATAACACTAACAATACGCTGTCATGAACAAATATTACTAATAATCATAAGAGCTAGTCTTATGATGACACAATGATAACGATAATGGCTTTGATTGGAACAAGGCTTCAGGTACACGATATTGTACTTTTGTACGGACTTTAAGAAACCATGATTGCCCATCATTCAATACCCCTCTCGTCTATTTGCCCTCAGCTGAACTTCGCCCTCCAGACAGCATTGACGCCGAAAGTTTGGCCTCCACACAAAAGTGATTTAGCCTTTGCAGCAGAGATTACTAGAAGCATATAGGGAAAGAACAAGGACCATGTTGGCAATTTACTGAGGCCCAGTATGTTGCTCCTTGAACCGAAATGACTTGAAACCCTACAAGTACCCCAACACTCTGAACCCTGTCGCCTAAAAGCCTTCACACTTAAACCCCAAAACCTTGATCCTGAAGTTCCGACGAGCTCTGAATTGCATCAACTCAAGCGGCGGAAAGGCGGCGAGATCTCGGCTAAGACAGGGGGGTACAAAGTATGAGGAGTCCAGCGTATTTGGAAGGCCTTTTGAAGGTTCGGGGCTCGGCCACCGGCGTCAGAGCTCTAGACCTCAAACACGATATTCTTACCTCAAACCCTAAACCCCGATCCCGATGCCCTCAAGAACAAAAAACCTGACTCGTAAACCCTGAATCGTAGGGTACACCCAAGCCCTGAATCCTATACAATCTACACCCTGAGCCCTGAAGACGGAATCCTATACCCCAAAGCCCTAATCCCAAAACCTTTCCAGAGCCGCTATGGATTGCTTGAAAAACCCACTAAAGCCTAATTCCCTAAACCGGTGTTTCGGGATGTAGCCTTCGCTTGGGAGAGAGCACGGTCGGTCTGGGGCGCACACGATTTTCATAATAGATTTGAACTGGTTTTTGTAGGATGGTATAAGCATTCAGAATAGATCTAGAAAGGTTTTCTAGGGTGGAAGAAGAGATTGACTCGGGTGTTTGTAACGGTTGTCTCAGGGTGACGCAAGGATTTTGTAACGGTGTTGCTTGGCTTCTCACAAAGCCACAGAGTCTCAATGCCGACAACGACGACATGAAGAATAATAAGTAGAAGAGCAGGAAGAGTAGTGATAACTGAAATTGATAGGCTACAGACACTGGGAAGAAGGATTAAACTGCCATGATAATGACAAATATCATGCTGCGTCTACACTGATCACTCTGCAGTTTTGACATGAAACAGTAAGATGAAAAATGCGTTTGAAGTAAGGTTTTATTACGATTATCAACATAATAACACCCAATGTATAGCCAATCTGCATGATTACCAATACTCGAAGGATCCCTATACTACACTTAGCAAAGCCCTCAAACAAACCCCCCTTCAAGTGATGTAGGGCTTTCTGCTGCTACACTCCCTCTAGTTTCCAGAGAAGAGCACTCACCAAGTTCCTACAGAGCCCCTTTTTACACTCTAATGACCTAGTATAAACTACCTTGATATCAGCCAAGAAGCTGGCGGAGCTGTATGCCACTGCCGAGGAGCTGGCGGTGCAGGTGGCCGCGGTGGGGCCGGGTCCTGGGGGCGTCGGTCTGCTTTGACAAGGTTTAACGAAACATTGGCTGTGTGAGCACGAACAGCCAAATATCTGACATTCGGGTAGACATTCAGGAATGGCGATCACCATCATCGTACCGTACTCAGGATCATCATGGTCAGCATGATCCTCGTCATGGTCATCACAAGAACAGCAATGTTTCTCAACCCAAGTAGCTGGTGCCGCATGACGCCGAGTTAACGGCGGCGGTAGGGCTCGGCGCGGTGGCGCCGCCGAAGGCGCGGGCTGGGGCCCAGCACCCTGATGGCTTGCTGGTCCCGGGGACAACATGGATTCGGTGCAAAGGTCGAGAAAGTGAAAGCTCTGGGGCTTTCCGTGAGAATCCGAACTATGCAGTAGGAGAAAGCATGAGCAGCAACTCAGCCAGTGCAGCTATGTCCGTATAAGAAACATAGCCATCGCTGTGCAACTTATGAGCCATACTGCAAATTCAGTTGGGTCTTGTGGGGCGGCAACATGTCATCTGCATCACCATCATCATCATCATCATCATCAGCATCATCAGCATCATCGCTACCACTGCCATCAATGGCATCATCAGCATTATCATCATCAGCAGCAGCATCCTACTCGAGCATCCACATCGTCACCGTCATCGTCATCTGCGGCTGGTTTCTTTCCACGGTCAGCATGAGGCTCGTCGTCATGGTCATGACAAGAAAACCCATTTTTCTCACCCAAAGGACCTGAGCTGGTGCTGCATGGCGCCGGACCAAGGGCGGCGGCAGAGGCCGGCGTTGTGGCGCAGAGAAGGGTGCAAGCAACGGAGGTGTGCGCCCAGCACCCTGATGGGCTTGCTGGTCCTGAGAGTTTGGGCTGCTCCTTTCGGGGCAAGCTCTGGCTTTCGGCTTTGCGTCAGGTTCCGACCGCCCACCCTACTTATCGACAACCCTAAACCCCCAAACCCCAAACCCCCAAAACCCTAAACCCTAGGGCTTAGGGCTTAAGGTTTTAGGGTTTAGCGTTTAGGGTTTAGGGTTTAGGGTTTAGGGTTTAGAGTTTAGAGTTTAGGGTTTAGGGTTAGGCGGCTTAGGGCTTAAGGTTTTAGGGCTTAGGGTTTAGAGTTTAGGGTTTAGGGTTAGGGGGCTTAGGGCTTTAGGGGCCTAGGGTTTTAGGGGCTTAGGTTCTAAGGGGCTGAGGGCCTCAGGTTTTAGGGGCTTAGGTTCTAGGGGCTTAGGGTTGAGGGTTTAGGGTTCAGGGTAGTTGTCCAAATTAGGGTCCCTTTTAGGGCCCTTCTTATAAGGGTGCCGTACTGTTTGGGGACCTTAGAAGGAACCCTAATTTAGAGAACTACTTAGGGTTTGGGGCTTAGGGCTTAGGGCGTAGGGTTTAGGGCTTACGGCAAAGGGTTTAGGGAAGAGGGCTTAGGGTTTAGGGAAAAGGGCTTAAGGTTTAGGGCTTAGGGTTTAGCGTTTAGGGTTTGGGTTTGGGTTTAGGGGTTTGGGGGTTGCTGAATAATTCGAAGAAGGGTGTATGCATCCGAAGCTCTTGATGCCTTAGGGTTCGGGGTGTCGGGCTTTGTGAGTTTAAGGCTTAGGGCTTCGGGGTCTTATGCTCAAGGTTTGGGGCTTCAAGATTCCTTGTTAGAAAGATCAACCTGACGTCATCATGATCATCGTCATCGTCGTCACCATCATGGACAACAACATCATCACAGTCATCATCACTGCGAGCGTATTCATCCTCATCTTTGTCTTCTTCCTTGCAACCGTCGTCACAATCGTCATCACCACCACCAGCCCATAAACCTATACTCCCTGAGTAACCGTAAGTAGCCAGATGCATTCTAAGATTGGGTTCTCTAGCTTACATTGAGGTGGGAGGCTCTGAGACCGGAACCTGCTCAAAATGAACGCACCAGTCACTTGAACCCCAACACCCCCCTCGCCGCCCCCAAAAAAAAGGAAAACGACACGGCGAGAGCTGGGTCTGAAGCTGAAAAAGGCCCCTTCGTCCAGGCCCCCCTTTTAGGGCTTAGGGGCCTAAGCCCTAAAAACTAAAGCTTAGGGTTACGTGTTGCAAAAAAGTACACCGCCCCAACTATACCGAATCCCCAACAAATGTGCCTCGACCCAAAACCCCAAAACGTAAACGCAAAACCCTTAAACCCTAGCCTAAGCCCCTAAACCCTAAACCCGAAACCCCCTAAACCCTGAACCCTAAACCCTAAACCCTAAACCCAAAGCCTCAAATGTTGAAAAAAGCGCCTCCTCGCTGCGCGGCGGAGCCGGGCCCAGGACCATAGTAGGATCAACTTCTCGGCCGGCGATCTGACATTGAGTTTTAGGGTTTAGGGCTTAGGGCTTAGTGCTTAGGGTTATTAGGGCTTAGGGTTTAGGGTTTAGGATCGTCATCACCACCACCGCCACCACCATCATGAATCCTTCTGAAAGCCCGAACTCCCTTGTCTACTGCCTCCTGCTTTTGGATGCACCCCCCACTGCCTTCCAGCCACTGCGAGGCGGAGTCTGCGCCGAGCTGCTCGGGTGATAAGCCCAGTACGATTCCCCACCCACCACGGGGCCGAACCACCAGCCCGAGAAGTTCGGACCATCCCGGGTGTCCCAGTAGTAGACGAAGACCCCGCTGAGGCTGTCGTTCTCCTTCACGTAGACCGGCCGCCCGTGGTTTTCCTGCCCGTTCCGTCTGAAGATGCCCTGCAGAATGCGGCTGACAACCTGGGTTCTTGTTAACCTATGACCATACTCTTTGCCACAAATCCCGCCTATTTTTATACTTTATATCCGTACGCTGACCCAGAAGCAGCGTGCGCGCCGCCTCGCACAGTCATGCGGTCGATTTCCCCCACGACCTCGCTGCAGTCAACGTGGACCTCTGCAACAGTGCACAGCTTGCAGACATGAGACTACAACCTCAGTCAAGTTGGGGCCTTGATAATTAGAATAGGGTTTTGCTCTCCTTTAAAAGAAGTATGGTAAGGAACCCTACATAATGATGGTGGTTGTTTTCGGCTTCTATAGAAGAAAACGTCTTTCCTCTTCTTGATTTACCTGTGATGATTTGTTTGCTTTTGCAGCCTCCCCTTCTCCAGCTACACCAGCTGCTGTTACGTGCTGTCTTTCGGGGTCACCAAGATTCGGGAGGGTCGGAAGACTTTGCAGATAGTAACTGTAATCCATCTCAAGTTTTCAGCCCATTCAAGGCTTGATGCTGAGGGTCCAAAACTTCTATCGAGCCGTGAAATCAAACACGAACGAGGTTTTGGACCTGAGGACTTGAACAGCCGACGAGCCCGAGAACCCTCAGCTTCTCACCAACGAGGCACAGCAGCAGCGCCGGCGGCAGCGCCAACAGCAGCAGCCACGGGCGCGCCTGCCTGGGTGGCAGAAACAAGTGTGTTCCGGCCTGTGCATGTCGAAACCTTCTGACCTCTCGCAGCAGGAAGTTTATCCGTGAAGCCAATGTCCCGAGCTGGGTGCTCCGAAATTCTAATATGTACGGCTCAATCCTACCGTCCCACCCAAAGTCCCCGAAGTTGCATAGTCATCCAGAAATTGTTGCTGTGCAATGCGGCACAGACGGCACACGACCGGCTGCCTTCACCTCTTGCACTTTTTGTACAGGGAGAAGTTTACCTAGTTGGGTTTAGGGTCTGGGGTTTGCTGCTTCTGGCCTGCTTTATTGGAGAAGCTTCCCAGAGCTCGTGCAACTCGCTTCGTACATTCTCCTTGCTCCTGTGCGTTTATGGCTGAACCGAACCCGGAACCAAACCCAAATGCAAAACCCGTAAAAATTCTCAACCCTACACCTTATCACCCTACATGACAGAAGACCCCTGCGAAAGCTACTAGTGCAGCCTGTAGAAACCCTGATAAGACCATTGCAGAGCCCTCCCTTGCGCTGCACCGGCCTCCCAGAAAGCAACAAAGATACTCCTGAAGCTTCCTTACTATACCCAGCAGAGTATCAGCATACATAGATAAAAAAATCCCTATTCTAATTGCTAAGGTTTCAAATATCATAGAACCCTAACAGGTCCCTCCAAAGACCTCCTAAAAGGAACCCTGCTATAGAACCCTGTCGTGCCCTTTAAAGGAATCTAAACCCTGCACCCCTGAACCCTAA